AGACCATGCGAAAAAAGACGCATACTGTGTTTTAACAGATTGCTGCTACTACTTATAGCGATCAATATTATATTTCTTGAGAAATTCACTGGAGCAGATAAAAAGAAAGAGCAAGGGTTATGTAACACACTCTCCAACAACCGTGACTTAGTAAAAGTACAACTTCTACTCTGAAGCACCAAATACTCCTGCTTAGTTCTCCGCCTACAGTACTGTAATTAGTCAAAATTCTGTTCTTACCTAGGAGCGCGAGCTGTTTGGATAATTTTGGCATGATATCAATGCCGTTCTTCAGCCAAGTAATTCGGGGATTGGGGATGCCTTCGGCATGGCACCTGAGGCTCGCCGACACGCCAGGCTCCTGCGCCTGCGTTTCCGGGTACACGCGGATCACCGGCGGCACTGCGGGGAACAAGGGATCGGCCGCTTTAAACCAGCCTGGCGCTTGTCATCCCTTGGTGGCAGCGTGTAAGTCACTGCCTTCAAACCGATCCCCAAAACGAGAAAATAAGCAAGGGCTTTCAGTGCAAGCTGCGGTAATGATTTTTCTACAGTCCAACTTTGGGGTTCAGGAAGAAGAAAGGAGCAAGCTAATAAAGCAGTTCCAGGCAGCAACCTGAATATCTGCTTTTGTATCTAGAGCACCCCTGCTTTCATTCATTGAAGGTCTGATGGAACTTCAATAGCAGCTGGATTGAAAACTAAGGAGAATGCTCACAGATTTAAAAATTAAAGCATAAATGCCAAAATTTCACTGAATCCAGTCAGGGAAGAATTAGACTCCTTGCCTATTTTTTTCCTATTAAATGTATCACATTATTCTACATTTAATTACATTACGTAATGAAAGGGCTTAAATGTTACTACCTGTTATCCTGAACAAACAAAGTATTTATAGATTATTTCTGTTTTTTGGGGGGGAGGCTTTCAAAGCGTGACTCGCCTTGTTTCAGGACGTCCCTTCTGAACTATTTAATATGCCCAGCTGGCAGCACTACTAACCATATCCCAATTTCAGCTATGCTCATTGATTTTCAATCATGCTGCTTTCGTTGCTCAAATCAAGAAGTCCTAATGCTACCCATTAACTATTTCTTAACAGTGTACTCATATACACGGAAGAGAATTTGAAACAGGGTTCATTTTTGGGAAAAAAACATCAGTGTCCTTCCTCTTATCTCACAATACCTTTGTGGGATAGTTTGAATAATTACATTCATTAGCACACACTTTACAGCTTTCTTTCCATTTCTATTTTTATTTTTTCGCGAGCTTTACAAGAGAGAGATGTATTTTACTTCTGTCTTACCTACCAGCTGCTTAAGAAAGCATTGAGCCATCAGCTCTGGTTAATACTTGGAATGAAATCAGCCATGACAGAAAGCCCTCAAGTCGACTTGTTTTTTATAGCTTTAAAAGAGAGAGATTGTTCAAGCGCAGTCTGAGAGGAAATGCCTAGGGGCAACTGGAAACCAAAAAAAAAAGGGGGAGAAGAGGAGAGACCTTTAGCAAAGGAATGTCTTTAAATTGCACACTTGCAGCGGACACGAGGACTTATTTCTTCTATGTCTTTAACTTAAAAATGTAAGTACATGTATTGTAAGATGAAGGGCAGTAATAAAACAACACACAAGAGCTTTTTAAGCAGGAGGACGTTAAAAGGCAAGGTTTGTTTTATTAAACTGAGTTTGCAATTTCTAAATAAAAGCAGTGACTAGCTTTTTAGCCTATCTTCCCGCCGTCGCTGCCAGGGTTGCAGCTGCTCCTGACCCCAGGAGGTGCCAGACCCAGCGGGAGAACAGCAAGGGAAGCGATCTGTGGCTGGAGAGGGCCGGCAGCTTTCGGAGCCGCTGCCTGCTCCAACGCCCGTGTTTGTTTGAGGGACGCTCTCCCAGCCGTCCGGACTCAGAGCCAGGAGCTTCGCGTTCCCTGTCTGCCTTGCAAAGGTTTCCTTACAGCGGTTTGCTTTAGGCTTTCCTGGTGCTACTGCTGTGAGTGCCAGCCCTCCCAATGACTTCCAGGTCCCTGCTCTAGAAAGCGGGCACTCGTTAACACAGCAGAGTTTCCTTGCATCTCTCAGTTTTTTGCCTCATACCCTGTTAGCCGGCATCTGAGAAACCCCCATACTTCACTAGCAGAACTGACAACACAGCAGATTTATATTGCAAAAGGTAGCTCGTAGCTCCTAGATGCTGAATTGATGTTCTTCATGAAAACTGGCTTAACGTGAAATTATTGCAAGGAGTGTATCTTTTATAGAGTGATTAACAGGGAAATTGTATTCTTTCACTGACAAAACTAGGTGTAGCACCTCCATTCTTGCTCTCATCATTTTCCTGCTCCTTCCATTTTTAAACTCTTTATTTCTTCTCCCTTGTCTTATATAATTCATTGCACAGGTTGATTATTGCATGCAACTGTCTTGCGATACCAGCAAACCACAGAATGCATTTTTATTGTCCTTGCTACAAATTAATACATTCCAGCTAAGCACATTTTACTTAACACTTGCAAAGATTTCATCTCCAGACTTTGGAATATACGGATTATCCTTTGCTATTTCCCTTGGTGAATATATATCATTGCTAACCATTACTGTGTCTGCAGCCAAAGGCAATATAAAAATGCTATTACCTTAAGCAAAGTATGAAGAAAGCAGCATTCAAAACAAGTAAGAGATGAGGTAAGTTGCCTGCTGCTACACACTGAGCAGTACCTCACTTGTGGGGAGACCAGTTCGTTACAACAAAACAGCTCAGGTGGTATACACAAAGAGTACAGATCAAGCCCCAAGGACATACATTGCTGCTATAGGACCTATACCTTTCAGTGCTTTTTAGAATTAATCTGTATTTCAGATGCTTTAATCTTTCCACTTATGCACTGAGAAGAATCTGAAGCCTCACGCTTTCTCTTGAAGTGCCACAATAACAAAACACGACAGCATTTAAAGCATCTCTCTGTTATTGGAAAATTTGTCCTTTTGGCCTCTTATCATTGGGCTGAAGATCAAATGGCTTTTTAAACTATATTTAAGGAACATAACACTGATTTATGCTGATGTTTTCCACAGTGCTAGAACCAGGAAAAATGATGCCCTACACTCAGTAGTCTCTTGATTTGCAAACTATTGGTTCTCATAGCTGATTACAATTTTATGAGATCCTTTATTCTCAGCAATTTTTTTTTTCTTGAAAATGATAAATTGCTTTTCTTCTCTATACTCAGCGTATGCTGTACACCTTTTCCAAGCAATATCCATACATGGGAGAGAACTTAATTTTCTAGCTGTTCCTTGCCACTCCTGATCAAAGATACGAGCAGGCAAGATTCAGATGAATTTTTCATTCTTGGACCTTGTGCTGCCTTTCCAACACGTTCTGTTCTTCCAGATACATTAAAGACCAGGTGTATAAACATACTGACTCAAATTTTACCATTGCTGTGATAAGACTGATGAGGGCAACCCAAACATTGTCACAAACATCACATACAGGCTGCATTTCACACGCGTGTTTTACAGTTCTTGCCCAGCAGACACGAGCCAGCAGTTGCAGGCATTTGTGTGGTGGTCCCCATGCCTTCTGCCCGAAACATCCTCACCTCGGCTTGTCTGTGACAGCATCTGGATTCAGCTGCACTATCTGTGATATTCCAAAACAGCTGTGCAAGCTCCAGCAAGTCCGTATGAACATCGCACATGTAGGACCACTTCCCAGAGGCGCTGATCCCTGCTGCCTGTGAAAGGCATGTATGGCCTAGGCAAAAATCCCAGGCTCACGTAGATTTAGATACAAAGGGAAGCATTGTGTGATATTTAGCAGTAGAGCAAAACAAACCTTTCTTTCCCTCAGACAGGTTGCTTTGGAAAGGACCTTTGGACACGGCCAGACTGTGCAATACGTGACCTCGAGTCAGGCTGCATGCAACTGCGTTCAGCGCTGCGCTGAAGCCTGCTGAAACAGCCTGAGCACAGTACTACGCGCACGGGGCTGGGGTGCTGCTAAAGATACAGCAGCTAGCTTGAGCAACAACACTGCCTTGCCTGCTACCGACAAGTAAGTGCCTTCCTTCCCACAGGTTTTACTGTGACGGAGTGAATTTACTTTATGTAAAAAGTGAATTCAATGGATGAATTTCTGATATATTTGATTAGTCTGCAATACATTCAACTACAGCTCTGAATTCAAAGAACTTTCAATTTTGCTAAAGCTGGGCTCTAAGCTTCCTGTTTTATGTCTATTTTTTCATCTAATTGATGAAGCTGTTGCAGGCCAATGCTACGTTCTAAACAGAGACAAAGGGGAAGGTCTTCACGGAGATTAACAGGATACATCAGATAAAAGCAGGCAGAGAGGGTGTACCTAACTAGGATCCAATTCTTTTCAGTAGAGAAAGGCAATAAAGAGGAAAATATTCTGCAAACTGGACTGACAGGCCTCAGGTGGTACAAAAAGGACTTCCTCGGGATCCCAGGACTCCAGAAGGAGTTAATGCAGCCCCGAAAGCCACTGAATTATCTGAAACCCAGTCTGGAAGTAGGGACCTGCCTGTACAAACACAACGAGCTTGGGAAGGGCTGTGTATAAAACCTTCTATTTTCACTCAGTTCTTCCCCAGCCACTTGGAGTTTTATCTATTAAAAAAAAATCTAACTGCTTTTGTAAAATAAAAACTGTCTTTTTGAGGTTACCAGCATGTTAGTCTCCAGCTGCAGAAGACAGGCGAGCGGATACAGCCCCACGGCTCTGGCTCACTCGGTGCTGCCGCACCGCCTTGAAATCTTAATACAAAATACCAAAAAGTAAAAAAAAAAAAAAAATTTCCATGTTCAAAACGTAGCTTTCAGTTTGATACAGACAGACACAGACAGTCCCCCGCATGGAGCGGAGCCGCCCAGCCACACTTCGGCTGGCCGCGTCTTTGCGCA